CTGAGCATAGCCGCTCAGGGCCCACAGAGCTGTTGTACCCACAGCTCCCTATCTATAAGGCCCTGTCCAAAAACCACGACTCGCTGCCCTGGAGTGAGTCGCTGCCCAGCCCTCTTTCACTGGCAATTCCCGAGACTCCCGATTCCCGTGGGCGCGCTCTGTTCTCCCAAAGCCGCCTGTCACTCGCCCTCGGTGCTGTTTCTGAAAACACGCCGTTTACAGATGAGGCAGGGTCCGCTTGGCCCTAGGCTTTAAAACAAACACCTACCTCGAGCCGGGGAAGCCAGGCTGCCCAATGTGGAGCCTCCCCTCTGCCCGTGTGACCTGGGCAGGTGACTTCGCATCTCCGGGCCGCACCATCCACCTGTGAACAGCCCCTGGAGAGGCCACCTTGTGTGAAGGCTCCCTCCTCCTCCAGGCAAAATCCTCAGGCGCCCGGGGGGGTTGTTCATGGCCCTTGATGCTGCGAAGCTGGCCCAGTGTGGTCTCTGTCCCCCGCCCCGCCCCTGTCCAGGTACCTGATGAAGTTCCTGGCCCGACTGGCTGAGTTGCAGGAGGTTAACAAGATGAGCCCCAGCAACATCGCCATTGTCCTGGGGCCCAACCTTCTGTGGCCGCCAGAGAAAGAAGGGTGAGTGGCGGTAGGCTGCTTCTGACCCCCGGGTCTCAGTTTCCCCCGCAGCTCCTCTTCTCTGGACCCCACGGTTCCATTTCCCCAGTCAGGCCTCCTTGTTCCCCTCTGTCGAGTGGGGAGCTCTGGAGGCGTTGGCGTGGATGCTTCGATGGGGCGAGGGGAAAGGGTGCGGAAGTCTTGCAAACAGGAAAGGGTCGTGCCCTGTAGAGGGTCATTCGTGATTATCTATCTGGCTCACGGAGGGCAGGGACCTTTTATCTCATGAGCTGAGTGAGGTTGATTGTCCTCTCCCTCTTGGTGATGCTCCCGGGGGCCAGGCATGTGCTCCGTGCCCTTGTACCCCTGGCTCTTGATCCTGGGCCAGGGCCCTAGAGAGCCCTCAGCTCTGTCTCATAAAGGCCAGGCAGAGGCCAAGAGCAAAGTGTGTCCAGAGTGACAGAAGAAGGGAGGGTTGGAATCAGGGCACTCTGTGCGCCCCCTTACCCCCAGGTCCTTCACTTCTCGGTGTGGTTAGCCTCCTGTCCCCACTCCCCAGTGCGGCCAGAACAGAAAGGCCACAAGGGGGTGGCTCTAATAAACAGAAATGTAATTTCTCA